ATCAACAAATGACAAGTGCTGGAGAGGATGCAGAGAAAAAGGAACCCTCCTTCACTGCTGGTGGGAACGCAGACTGGTGCAGCCATTGTGGAGAACAGTATGGCGTTGCCTCAAAAATTTAAAAATGGAACTGCCATTTGACTCAGTAATATCATTTCTAGGAATATATACCAAGAAAACAGAAACACCAATCAGAAAGGATATATGTACCCCTATGTTCATAGCAGCACAATATACAATGATAGAGCATAGTGACTATTCTCTATGACACTAAAATTGACAGACTTTAGCTAGACTCACTAGGATAAAAAGAGAAACCATGCAAATTAGTAATATCAGGCATGGAAGAGAGGTAATCACAATTGACCTAACAGAAAATTTTTTTAAAGAACTTTAAGGAAATATTAAATACTGTAAGCCAACAAATTAGATAACTAAATGAAATGGACCATTTCCTGAAAAACACAACTACTGAAACTGACTGAAGAAGATTTAGAAAGTCTAAATAAAACTATAATAAGTAAAGAGATTAAATTATAAAAAAAAATATTCCTACAAAGAAAAGCCCAGGCCCAGATGGCTTCATTGATTAAGTGTACCAAATCTTTAAAGAAAAATTAACACCAATATTCTCAAATTCTGAAAAAGAAAAATAGAAGAGGGAATAATTGCCAACTCATTCTATGACAGCAGCATTACCCTGATATCAAAGTCACACAAAGACTAGCAAAGTCATCACAAGGTATTAAAAATACTACAAACCAATATCTCTTATGAATACAGATATGAAAATTCTCAACAAAATACTAAAAACAAATAAAAAGGATGGTAAAGAATGACAAAGAGGGACTTATCCCAAGAATGCAAAGTTGGTTTAACTCAGGAAAATTGATCAATACAATATATCATGTTAATAGAATAAAGGAAAAAAGTACATGATAATCTCAATAGACATAGAAATAGTACTTGACAAAATCCAATACCTTTCACATTAATAACACCTTTTCAATTAAGTAGAAAAGTGGAAACTTTCTCAACCTAATGGCGCCACTCTTCTCTGTGAAATAGGAATTCAGTTACTTACTAACAATGAGTGTGAGGTTGGAGTGTTGGAGACATGGGGAAGATAAAATATTGAAGTGTGAGATTTATAGAGTGGGAGATTTCTGCCCTCCAGGCATGGTTGGAGCCCATGCAATTCATAATTGTAGCCACCACGCTTGTTACTCTGGTGGGAGTGAGTGTAGGGTAGTGGGACAATGGCAGAGTTTGGGTTAGCTAGAGGGATATGGTGAGAGGTAAGAGAGTAAGTCATTCAGTCATATTACCGATGACATATCATAAAATTTAAGCTAGATTCCAAGCAAAGTGAAAAAAAAAAAACAAGGGCTGAAAGACTGGGAGAAAGAAGAGGGTCAAGGAATTGCTCATTGAAGAAGAGTCCTGGTAGGATAAGTTGAGCAAGAGAGGATGTTAACAAATCTAGTCTTTGGGGCCTCCTGTATCCACATGAGGCTTCTTCACCTTTCCTAAAACCCTTCTAATAAGGACCACCTGAGTCCAGGAGGAAAAGCTTTTGAAAGGGTCTCAGAAAACTTTATTCTTCCTTGAACTTCACAAGTGGGCAGACATCAAGCTACAATGCACTGCTTACTTTGTGATAGAACTTTACAATCTAAATATCAATTCTGTATCTACTCCAAGAAATATTTCTTTGGCCTTCAAAAAACTTGTGAAAATGGCAGAGCAGGGACAATGATCTCCAATTTCCAGATAATAAGAACTGAAGCTCAGTAGAGTGACCCAACGTGCTCAAAATTAAACAGCTGGAAATGGGAGAACTGGGACTGGAACTGTGATCCCACAGCCCAGCACCACCTTCAGCACTTCATCATGAAAGTCAGGGATCAAATTCATGCTGACTCAGTGGGGCAGTGCAATAAAAGAGATTTTTCACGGGATCAGGCGGATGTGAATATTTCCTCACTACAAAAGCTAATTCTATAGGAAAGAACTGAAAGATTTACTGCCTTTGGATGTAAGAATATCTAATACCTTCAAGCAAAGTCCTAAGTAATAATTGGATTTCTCTGGAAATCAGTTGAATATGCTAGACTCAAGGATTCTGGGTACTTTGCTTTTTATGGACATGTAAAACTGATCATAGTACACGGACAAAGGAGAAGGAGTTGGTAAAGGAGAGGTTGGAGGTCTGAAGAGGGGATTCCAGAAAGAACAGATCAGAGGGGAAGCAGGAGGGTGTGGAATCAAAGGCACAGGAGAAAAGATCCTTGGCCCTTCTGGGACAGAAGGACAAGAGAAGGGCTGCATGAAAACTGGTTAGACTCAGTGGATAGAGCGTCAGCCTGCGGACTGAAGGGTCCTGGGTTTGATTCCAGTCAAAGGAAACGCATTTGTAGGTAAGGAACTGCTTTTCTCATGTTCCTTTTAAGATTTTTTGTCTTTGCTTCCATGTCAGTCCCCCAGTACCTGTGCATTTCTGGGGATCTGGGGGTCTTACGTACTGCGTGACCCAGAAGAGGTGCCCATGGGTGCTCCTGGGTGTCTGTGGAATCAACAGGTGAGGAAACTCAAGGCTATCAGTGTTTGTCTCCCACAGGTTGGCCAACTGCGGCCTCACAGCAGAAGACTGCAGGGCCCTTGCCCGTGTGCTGAGCAACAACTGGCACCTGATAGAGCTGGACCTGAGCTTCAACAAGCTCCGGGACAACGGAGCCCGGCACCTATTCCAGGAACTGAGACATTCTTGCTGCAGGCTGGAGCGGCTGATGTAATTGCTCCTCTTTGACACTGCTTTGAGGGGTGGGCAAAGGAGGAGAGGGAGCTGCCTAAGACCCTGGGTCAGGGAGAAGCTGAGAGCTAGGTAGGATGGGGTGATTTGGGTTAGAAGCAAGTAGACACCCTAGTGTTGAAAGCCACCAAAGAATCCTGTGTCAGCTACCTGGGCATTTGGTAGGGCCGATGTTGCTAACAATCAGACTTGGTGCACAAGTGGAACATTGGGTAAATAAATCATATAATGTTGATGAGGGGAGTTGCAAGATTGTTGGGAATCTCACAGGAGTGAGAAAAGGAGGTTCTCTGATCCTAAGGGGCTCCTTGGCTGCAGGAGAAAATTAAAATCTCCCGGATTACTATTAACCAGACACGTGTTTCTCTTCCTTTATGTCACCAGGGACCCCCAAAGGGCCACAGGTGCTAGAGAGGGAAATCAGACCCTCGTTACCCTGAGGAGAGGGCCTTGTGAACAATGACTTCCGACCCATGTGCTTTTCTCCCACAGGCTCGTCAGCTGCAACCTCACACCCCGCTGCTGCCAGGACCTGGTCTCCATGCTCAGTAACAACAGCATACTCTCTGAGCTGGACCTGCGGAAGAACTACCTGGGCGACTTCGGTGTGAGGCTGCTCTGTGAAGGGCTCAGGCAGTATAACTGCGAACTCATGTTCCTGTGGTAAAGCCCTGGGTCATTTTTGGGCGGAGAACAGGGAAGGGGAGGGAAAGCGATGGACAGGGGAAGTAAAGGGGCAGAAAAATGCCTGGGCAACCTGGGTTCCCTACCAGATCCACCACTGACTTAGGCCATGAGACTTGGTTTCTTTATCTTTGTAACAGGACTACCATATCCACTCATAGATGTGATGAAATAAAATGCATCACAGCGCTGGAAACAGATTTGAGAGGCTGCAATGATAATTACTAGTGAGACCACATATTCTTGGAGAATCCTAGGTTCATTTCTCCATCCAGAGCAATCTTTCCTCTCTTTCCTCCTTCCTTCTCTCCTTCCTCCCTTCCTCCCTTCCTCCTTTTCTTTCTTCCTTCCTTCATTGCCTCATTCATTCATTCACTCATTCATCCATTCATTCATTTCATGGCTCCCATGTGCCAAGCACTGGTCCAGGCACTGAGGGGATAATAGTGAGCAACAGACGTGGGTCCTGCCCCCTTAAGCTTACACTCCAGTGAGAATGAGACAGATGTTGATGACATGTGAACACACAGTGTGTATCTCTGAGCTCCACACAGTTTGTGAAGGGAAAGTGCATTGTGTTATGAGAGTGTAACAGGGGAGAGGATGGAATTAGACTCAGGGGCAGGGAGGGCCTCTCTCGGGAAGTGACATCAGGCCGAGACCTGAAGCAGAAAGAGGGGTTGACCAGGCCCAGTCAGGGGAAGCAGTCCAGGCTGAGAATAGCGTGGGGGAGACCCCAGGACAGAAACAGGCTCAGAGCACTGGACAGCGGTGTGGCTGGGGTGCAGTGACCCCAGCCCTCATTTCCCACGCTGTCTCCCAGCCACTTCCTGTCGCCCTCCAGCCTGAAAACTAGTCCACAGCCAGTTTCTGACTGAACATTTCCATGCAGCTCCTGGGTGGGCCCTGTCTCACACTCACAGAGCTGACAGGGCTGCAAACCTCCATGTCCTGACCCCTTGGTCTTAGTTGAGGCTCCAGCCAGCTCTCAGCCTTTCCTCCTTTCTCAAACCTAAAGCAGCAGGAGGTGAACACTTTACATGTGGGTCCTCCCAGAGCCCACTCTTTCCCTTCACAACCAAGGGCACCCCATCCTCTAGGGCTACCACCACTCAGCCTCCTCCCCTCTGAGTATGTGTGACTGTACCATCTCCTATATGTCACTACCTCTCCAGAGCTGGGCCTTTGCAGTAGGTCTGCATCCATGCCCCGCTCACCTGTTACTCCTAACAGACTCATAATAGGCTGAGCAGGTCCCTCCGTGTTGGAGGTGAGGACATGGAGGCCCAGAGAGGGCAGCAGCCATCCCAAATCCACCAGAAACCCCAGAGCACAGGGTGTGTGAGAATGGAAACAGGCTCTTTCTTTCCAGGAAACCCCCTAGCCTCTGAGAAGGAAATCCCAGGACCTATTCCTGTGTGGTCATTTGAGGCCCTGGACACTGGCTGTCCTCTGGTGGATGCTGTGAAGTGCTGCTTCATTTGTGAGACTTCCTTTCACAAATGAAGACCCAACCCCCACCCCTGGGAGTGCTGCCAGCTACAAGGATGGCTCTGCCAACTAGAGCCATCTCACACAAGGTCACCTCACCTCCCTGGGTGGCCTGCATCCAGTGACTGGGGTAGTAGTACTTATACCCTCCTCCAAGTATGGACAGCTCTGGGGGGTCATCCCCACATCAAGAGACCCACAGAGTCAGCTGTGCCCCTGGGGACTGCATCAAAACCCAACTTGTCCCTCTTCCCAGTCCTGTTTCCTCCTTTCCTTTGCCCTTGTATTAACCCAACTACACTCCCTAATAAACCTCCTAACTCTTCTTTCCAATTCAAAAACAAGCGGTTCCTGCAGGACCTGGAAGGTTCCATGATTCTGGGCCCTGAGGCCCTGGAGATGGTGGGTCGCCCCAGGATAAAGAGGCTCCCTTTGTGCTTGCAGGTTGGACGGGACTCGGCTGAGTGCGGAGGTGACAGAGATGCTGAGGCTCCTGCAGCAGGAGAAGCCTCATCTGGTCATCAATTATGGGGAAGAGGGGAGACACAGAACTCCCTGGAGCTGACCCAGGCCCAGGGCTGACTCCTAGAGGCTGGCCCAGAGACATGGGCCAGAAGTGGGGTGGGGTGGAGTGAGGCTGGAGACAGAGACAGACTGGAGCAGGAAGAAGCCAGGAAACCACAGCAGCCAGAGTGAGGTTGTTTGTGTGTTTGTTTAGTTCAAACAAGAATATGCCCCTTCTTTGCCTAGTAGGAAATCCTTCCAAGAGATGAGTAAGGAGATGAACAAATGAAGAAAAGTGAATGAGTGAGTTGGTGGCAGTTAGAACATGGAAAGCAATGACCACAAGGTGGAGACAAAGACAAGGAGAGAGAGCTTTAAGGAGAGAGAGAGCTTTTGTGGAAAAAAACACCCTCCTTCACCCTCCACACATATAAACAACCATGTACACAGCCCAGCTGAGGAGAAGCCTTGGGAACAGGAGAATACGGTTCCTCCTGGGCATCTGCTGCAGCCCCGTGGCCTTTCATGATGGTGTATTCCGGCCTGTGACTGCAAAGTGCGCCTGTGCCCTGGTTCTGACTGCTCTGCCTCACCTGGCATGGCAGCAAAGGGCTCCTAGGCTTAGGAGGAGCCATTCCTCAGGGAGCAACCATTCCCCTCAGACCCACAATGTGTTAGGCACAGGACCAACTCCCAGGAGTTTAATTCAGCAGGGACACAGGCCTAGGTTACGGCTGCTCCCCTGCCTCTCTGCCCCTCCGCCCCCTGACACCTGTGTCATTGTGCCTGGGATCAGGGTGAATACACTGATTGGCCCAGTAAACTCTGTCCAAACCACCTGAGCTGAGTTGTGAAAAATGCGAGGGCTTAGCTGGGCGAGAGTGGGTAGATTCCTGGCCCAGATAGAGATCTGATCTCAGCTCCTTGGAGGAATAGAAGGAAGCCAGGTACCAGGAACACTGCTACTCAAAGTGTGGCCTGTGGATCAGCAGTGTCAGCATCAGCATCACCTGAGAGCTCATTAAAAATGTACATGTCAGGCCCCACTCCAGACCTGCTGAATCAGAATCTATGGGGTGAGCCCAGGAATCTGTGTTTAACTAGGCTTCCAGGTATGGGCTTTGAGAAGCATTGGACTAGAGCTGAGTGAGCAGGTAAAATGGCAGAGGTGGGAATGGAGATAAGGTTTCGGTGGAATTAGACGAACAGGACACAAGTAGGCCGTTAGGCCATGGTAAGAACTTTGAATTCTACCCCCAAAAGCAATAGATTTCAGGGCTTCAGCATCCAAGTGCTCAGTCAGGTTCATATTGAAGATCAACTGCTGTGCAGAAATGGCCTGGAAACAAACAAGAGAAGAGGGGAACTTAAAGGGAAGAGTTCAGTGGTTTGAGCTGAAGATGTCAGGGCCTGGACATGGGATGGAGACTGTGAAGGTGGAGAGAGAGACTAGAAAGAGAGCTATTCGAGAGCCAGTGACAAGGTGGCCAATCAGAGAGAGCGGGGAGTCAGGACTACACCCCAGTTCCAGCATTGATGGCGGCCATCACGAAGACAGGGTCTAGGGGAGAATCTCAGATGAAGGCATTGAGTTCAAATTCAGATGGTTGAATTTAAGTGAGGAGGCCATGTGGACAACCCCAATTTCCTTCAAGATATTGGGGAGAATGAACAACTCTGTGTGCAGGAAGCCAAATGTGACAATCACTAAGGAAGATGCAGGGGAACAACAGATGGATGATGAGATGGATGAAGAAACAACTCCACTCCAAAGGCAGGAATCTGAATCAGGTACTTTGAGGGACTGGGATGGAAGCATCATGACTTGGGATGGGAGAGGGAGAATGTGGAAGGTGAGCCCCACCATGCTCCTGCCTCTGGTGTGGGACATGGAAAAATGCCCACCTACGGGAACTCGCTCCATGCGAGATCTTCCACACCTAGACCCTGGGAACTGGCAAGATCTCTGCTTTCCTCTCTCCAGCCTCAGAGACTGAGTCTGTTCCTCCCCAGAATATCCCCGGGGCGTCTCAGACTCTGATCCATGGCCCAGTCTCCCAAGGTCCTTTGCATCGCTGCCCATCCATTTTTTGAGCCATGTTCCTTTCACAAGTTACCTTGCCATTGGAGCTGGGAATAGCAATATCTCTGTGCCAGTGGGAAGGCAGAGATGGGTAGGGTTGGGGTCAGAGGGCAGTAGTGTTGGGCCTCCTCAGATAGCAGGCAGGCAGCCCCAGTATCAGGCACAGAGGATACAGACACACTCCCTGCCAATGTCCAGACAGACAACCCTTGGGGAGGCCCCCTCTTTGGTATAGGGCAGGGATTGGGGCAGGCAGACAGAAGACCCTAATGTTGACCATTGCCCTGCCTGTTCCAGAAGAGAGCTATGATCAAGAAACATGTGCTGACGGTTGGTCTTCTCCTGAATCTCTGGGGGACATGCCAGAGGAGTCTCTAGGGACAGATGATGACTTCTGGGGCCCCACAGGACCTGTGACTCCAGAGGTGGGGGACGAAGACAGGGGTCTGTACCGGTAAGTGAGGGGGCTTTACTGTGCCCAGCTCGCCCCCAACCCCTGCCATCCCCACACTGGGTCCAAAAGGACACTCAACACCCCATTCATGGCATTGCATCCACTCCCACTGCCAAGTCACTAGGCAGAGACAGGGCTGAGATACTGGGTTGGTGTTTTTATTATGGACAGAGGTTTTATTATGAAAAGTTGAAAAAAAGAGTGTAAGGAACTTTCACTTACCCATTATTCAACTTCAACAATCATTTTACCAAATTTGTCCTAACTATTCACTTTCCCCCTCTTTTGTTGTTATAACATTTTAAATCCATGATGTCAGGAAATTTAACCCATAAATATTTTGTGATGCATTTTGAAGAATATAAATAAAGAATTTTTCTCCTATCACCACAAAGCCATTATATCTGACAACATTAACAGTGTCATTTTCATATCATATAATACCTAGTCTGTATTCAAATATGCTCAATGATCCAAACTGTGTCCTTGTAGGTGATTTGTTCTAATCAGGATCCAAACAAAGTCCACGGGTTGCATTTGGTTTATTATGTCTCATAAATCTCATTCCATCTACCCATTTCTGTTTTATTAGCATCTGCTATGTGCAAAGTACCATACCTGTAACAAGGGCCATGAGATGAATATGGCAGCCTGCCTTCCAATGGTCCCCAGTTCTAAGTAATAAATGTCTATGATCTTAGTTCTGATCTCTTACATAACACATGCCCACTCACTGTCACGGACATGATCTCAATGGAATGGAATATTACTCCAAACTTACACACACAGAAGGTGACATCCCAGGAGCCCACTCTTTACCAATGGGGACCTGGGGAAAGTCTCTGTAATATCTCTGCAAGTGTTTTTTTCAGCTTCAAGTGGTAATCAATAATATCACCATGTAGATTGTTATTAATTATCAAAAAATATGCCCTTCAAAAACAAGAAAATTTTTCTATTTCATTATTATTAATATTATTATTATTCTATTTGTCATCGCCATTATAGAAACAGCTCACCATCCCCAGACTGATATTAAGCCATCAGCATACATTAGGTCACTTATTACTCACAATTCTATGAGATGGTGCTATTATTACTTTTATTTACAAATAATAAATCTGAGATTAAGGAGGTTCAATGACTTGCTGAAGGATCCACAGTAGAGAGCAGAGGAGCCAAGACTCAACCACAAATCCTTCTGGCTGTCACTTCTGAGCTTGCAGCCACTCTACTAGATACACAGTGCACTACATGGGGTCGGGCACCCAGTAGGTAGTCCATGAGCTTGTGTAGAGTAATTACAATGTTTCTTCTCTCTCTGCTATCCCCAGAGTTCACTTCCCTGTGGCTGGTTCCTACCACTGTCCCAACATGCGTCTCTACTTTGTGGTGAGAGGGCCAGTGACCATTGAGATTGAATTCTGTGCTTGGGACCAGTTCCTGGACCAGATTGTCCCACAGCACAGCTGGATGGTTGCAGGGCCTCTTTTTGACATCAAGGCTGAACCAGGAACTGTGGCAGCTGTGTACCTCCCTCACTTTATAGACCTCCAAGGTGAGTGAGAGGGAGGTGTGAGGGAAGGTGATGTGATGGTGGTGAGAATGGGTCTGAAATGGCTTCCAATGGCTTTCAATATCCTGAGAGGAGTGTGTGGCTTCCTTAGGCAGACTGAGAGAAAGTTGTAGAAGTGGCAGCAGCTTTCTTTCTCATTCCACAGTGCTCTGGGCATATCTGTTTTGAAACATTGTGTCCCCAAGCATCATAATTATTTTTGCCTGAATTACTGGAAAGTTTCCCTAAATAGAAAGTGGTTTCCTCACCCTCACCAGATTGACTCAGTGGATAGAACATCAGTCTGTGGACTGAAGGGTCCTGGATTTGATTCAGGTCAAGAGAGCATGCCTTGGTTTCAGGCTCAATCCGTGGCCCTGGTTGGGTAATGTGCGGGAGACAACCAATCGATGTGAGACATCAATGCTCTCATATCAATGTTTCTCTCTCTCGCTCTCTCTCTCTCTCTTCCCCTCTCTCTGAAAAACAATGAAAAAATATCCTCAGGTGAAGATTAACAGAAAGAAAGAAAGAAAGAAAGAAAGAAAGAAAGAAAGAAAGAAAGAAAGGAAGGAAGGAAGGAAGGAAGGA